GCCTACAGATTATTTTATGTGTGACTACAGTCTGTGATACGTTTGATAATAATTTTATTTTAATAGATAGCGCGCTGTGTTCTGTGATATCTTGCCATTTAGACTCACTGCCTCATTACCATCCATTACTCTAGTTTCCAGCAGTTTCCAGTCGTTTCCAACTGAAAGATGTTAGAAGCTTACGATGCCAACTACGATAAAGTATGAGTTATGACACACTAATAATATTTGAAATATTACATTATATATTTTTCTTAAGGCATTTAATTGTGATTCTTTTATAGCAATCTATCAACGTTTTTACACTATTCAGTACACTATTCACATATGCATGCAGCGTTAATAGATATTATAATTATATATTATATATTATATAAATCTTACAAAATTTTAATTCCAAAATTTATACGCAGTTAATTTAGTGAATATGTAGTCTAATAATATCAAATATATTATTTTTACGCAGGAACACCCAAGAAATCTTATTCCAGAACTGTGTCGGCAGTTTTATCATCTCGGATGGGTGACTGGTACTGGTGGCGGTATCTCCATAAAATACGAGTTAATTGCATAATAATATTATGTACAAAACTATTAAATGGAGACTATAAAATTTCACTATAAAATTTCTATTCTACAGAGACAAGATCTATATAGCTCCTTCTGGTGTACAAAAGGAACGTATGGTACCCAACGATATGTTTGTTCAAGATATCAATGGAATAGATTTGGAATTGCCTCCACCAGAGAAGAAACTGAACAAGTCGCAATGCACTCCACTATTTATGTGTGCATATATAAGAAGGCATGCAGGTGCTGTGATTCACACACATTCTAAGTTTGCTGTGATGGCGACACTATTGTGGCCTGGGAAAGAAGTCAGACTCACCCATCTCGAAATGATAAAAGGTATATTCATTTGAATCGTTTTTTTCAAATTCATTTACAGTAATTAATTTGAAATTAATGACAATATAAAATTGTTTGGCTTATATTATTATAGGCATATGGAATCAAAAAGAGGGTAGAACGTATCGTTATGATGAGGAATTGGTAATACCGATCATAGAAAACACTCCCTTTGAGAGAGATTTAAGAGACGATTTAGATAAAATTATTGTTCGTTACCCTGAGACTTGTGCGGTATTGGTACGCAGGCATGGGATTTATGTGTGGGGCAATTCTTGGCAACAGGCAAAAACTATGTAAGCTATTTCAGTATCATGCAGCGAAAATGCAATGAAATTTATCAACTTTTTCGTTAAAATATATTTCTTTTTTTTTGTACAGGACAGAATGTTACGATTATCTACTTGATATTGCAATTCAAATGAAACAATTTAGATTAGATCCATCCATAACTCCAAATGATTATGAATTAAAATATCAAGCAAATAGTATATTATGATATATACAGAAATTTATTATTTCTAATAATTTCTTAAAATTAATATTTCTGTTAACTATAATTCTATGATGCAATATTATGTTCTGTGTCTAGTTATGTACAGTTTTTAATCATTAAAAATGTATATAAAAATTAAAATAAAAAAAATAAAGAAATTTGATTTATTGTGAAATTATTAATAATTTTAATGATATGTTCTACATATGAGGATATAATATACACTATGTACACTGTTATACATGTCAAAAGACAAAAATAATAAAAATATTTTCTCAAATATCTACGTCGAATGGTGTAAATTGTTTTCTAATTTTCTTTGCTAGTTCAGTCTCTTCTTCTTGACTCGTATGACAATCTTTCCAGTCGGATCTATCATTTATGTCCAATATTCTGTCAGACGCTAATACTTCTCTGCCGAATTGTAATGGAAAGTCTTTCTTGATCCTGTAATATAAGATTCTCCCATCCGGTAATTCTACATAAAAATATAGAATACCAGGTTTAGCAACTTGCTGCAAATCTGTATGTGGTGGTAACTCCGATATCTTGAAATTGTTACATTCGGCCAGTTCCTAAAAGCACAGAAATTCATAGTCATTTGAATTAAAATAAACAAAAGATATGTTCGATATTCTTTAATATGGAAAAAAATTGAGAATACCTCGAATATTTCCTTCAATGTGGGTGCTTGATTTTTATAAACAGGTACCGCTTGCAATTGACAGTGAGAAGTTTTAAAGTTTCTTTCGAAGAATACAGGTACTCTGTTGGTACTTTCATAGTACTTGCTCACGGCTTTCTTATAGAGATCCATCTCCTCTTTTACGTTTTTCGGTAGAATAGACAGACTCTGATGATGCGTTATTGGTAGAATTAAAAGATGATCCTCCACTAGACCACCCTTTGCCAGTGCCAAATATATTTCTGCACCGACAGAGATTACCAAATGCTTGGAGACTACTGGACTGGATAAACAAAACCAGCACTTTGACTGGTCAATTTCCAGCTTTGCTTTCTTATTGAGGCTACTATTCTGATGCCGTGATCTCTTTACGTTATCTATTGAGTCCATGTCATAGAAAAATTGGATTTGCTTTTGCAAAATTGGATCGTCAGACAGCATAGATTTGGGATACGGACTCGGCGTCTCATCTGTTGTTTTTATAATCAGATCTGATAGTCTGGTTCTATCAACGGGAGTTAAATTCAATGCATACAACCATTTCTGCTTCTCGTCATTCAGTACTGGTGCAAGAGCTACGAATCTAGTAGCTATTTCTGTATTTCCATCATCCTGACTTTGATTTCTGTAATGAGAAAAAAAATATTATCTCCAAAATAATTTTGCATTTATTCTTTATTTATTTTCAGAAATTTTCTTGAATAATAAACTTACCGATACGGCGGCCGTTCGTAATAAATTTGTTCTAAGGCCGACACATGATACCTAGGTTTAATATGAGTAACGAGCCAAGCAATTAATTTAGAACCTTGATACTTGCATTCTGGTTTGTTAATATCAAGATTGGTTACACCTTCTGGCCATGGAGATGTTAACAAAATGTCAATGCCACGAAAACTTGGTTGATCCTTCAAGCAACTATTCCTGATGGATACAACATCATGTTTGTCGAAGTGAATGGTTTTGTTTTTAGATGGGACTTTCTCGGTTCCACTGAGATATGCTATTTTGAGGCCCGAACTAGCAATGTATAGACCACGCTTTCCGAGATAAGTGAGATTCTGACATATTTCGTATCCATCCTCGGGATAGTCCTTAATATCCGATTCCCGGTTAGGACCGATAATGTACGTCGGTACCGAAATGATTTTCTCGCAGGATTTGTAGGACTCCAATTCAGAATTGTCCGCACCGAAGAAATTGCCGACGCATAACAGAAAATCGAATGGACCGTTTTTTTTGTTGATAGCGTTTACTTTGGAGAACAAAAACTTGAAGTGTCCTTCCACATCTCCGCAAATGAGAACTTTCTGCTTGTCATTCATCCTGATAATAAAATTCTAAATAGTATGTGTCAAAATGTTAAACATAAATCAGTGAACATTGATTTCCTCAGATATTTTCACTAAGATGCAATTTCACACACAACGAAGGAAACAATACAGGAATGAGCCGAAAGAGGAAAGCTGATTTTTTACCCCCACTTCGAGTAATTTCGACTTCATAGTGGAAGCATAGTATATACAGTAGCGCAACTCTCTGTCGGCACTTTTGATGTTAGTATCAGCCAAAATGCATGAAATAAGTAAGTTACATAGCGTTGCTATAATGTTATCTAAATTTCTTTCTCTTTTCATTTTTTTTGACTCTATCAAAATTCCTCGCAAAACTCACTAGATTTATTCGCATCGCAATCCAACGAATCCGTTGAAGTGTTATTGTAGGAATATATTGGAACATATTAGAGCACGCGAATAAACCTAATATTACAATGAAATAATTTAAACTTTATGAAAATTAATAAAAATAAATTGTAAATATATTGAAAAATAAAAAAAATATAAAAAAATTAGGAAAAATATTAAATTAACTTAAAAATGTATATTTGTATAAAGAAATATTATGTAATTATATATTTATGAAAATATTATGAGAAAGCTGATATAAAAGAAATTTATATATAATACATATATGTCCAAAAAAAAATAAGTTTAAAATACAATAAATAAAAAGAAATTTTTCTGGTTCGGTTTTTTTATGTTACTTTTTTATGTTACTTTTTCACTTTATCACTTTTTCACAAAAATTAGATCAATCTTGAGATTTCTCACACAACATTTCACCAAATGGACAATACATGTAATACTTCCTCTAAATTTCTATTCTGAATCATAATGTAAAAAGTAAGGTGAACCATTCTCGGATGCGCAGTAGATTGAAAGTAGTGAGGAGATCTGTCAACCAATCAATTTTTTAGTTAATTTGCAGAAATTCGTATGATTCGTTCTGCAAATAAGTACACTGTAAATTAGTAT